ACTGTATCGCCAGGGAATGGAAAACAATGACGGTCACGACTCCAAAATGGAGAAGTAAGTCTCCCCTGGTCGCTCAGTGAGGAAACATACAAAGAGAAACATTAAAAATGGATGTTGGCACATGCGCACACCCACAGAAACACATGCATCGAGATGAATATACATAATAGGACAATGAAATTCCCTGCAAATCCAGCTCCCTTTTGACTGCCCCACAACACACCTTGATTCCCTCCACCCATCCCAGCACTTCCCCTCCCACTATGCATTTTAAGCATCACAAAGGGGATTACACAGGTGCAAAAATACTGCATGATCAGCCTATTAATGCAATTTTCAAGGCCAGGATTTACATGAGCAGGGACTGAAAAGGCCTTTAGATCAGCATTGTTTTTTTTATTCCATGCACGATTTGATTTACACATTCAGCAACAAAATTTATTTCTGTAGCTTTCATTTTAGGTTACAATAAAGGAAATTTCCATTCTAAAGAGCAAAGATTCTGTCTCTTAAGCTGCATGCATATAAAAAGCCTTAATCTCAATAGTAGTGAGAAGAACAGAGGAAGCTGGGGGATGTAAAAGGGGAGGAAACCCTTCATATTGACCAACAGGCAGACTTGGTCATTCTTCAGTTCCTTGCAATCCCAAATCCTCAATACAATTACTCTCCAATGATTTCCAGTATTATCAATCCTACTGATTAACTGACATCAATATAAGGTGATGTGCAGGGCGCAGGACTGCAAAGAGAAACATATTGACCATTTGCATTGAGCTGTTTTACAAACAATTGTGTACATAGACACACAGAGGTCCAAAGTTCATTTGTCTTTTAAAAAAAAAAAAAAAAAAAAAAAAAAAAAAAAAAGCACTACTTCTTAAATCCTCCTTTTGTAGTACCACCTCTCCTCTTATCTCCATTTTTCTTCTATCATCTCATCTTCCCTGTAACCTCTCAACCATGTTAGCCTTCCTGCCCACTGTCCCCAACCAATAGCACTTAACTACACAAACACAAATACACATTACTGACTGACTTGTGCAAAGCTCCCCCTTTCTTTTCTCCTCCACCTGTCAGGCCCACTGTGGCAACCCCTGAGGGAGGGATAGCAGAGGAAATAAGGAAAGGGTGACCCTGAGGTGACTCCCCACAGATTGTTAGAGCCTGTTAAGTTTGCGTCTGTCTGCTTGTAGACACAAAGACAAAACCGTGCCGTATCCCGGCCAGAGGAAGAGGAGGAATAAGTGAGGGGGAGGGGAGTGCATGAGGACAGGAGGTGCTTGTCGCTGGGAGCGAGAAAAGTAGAGCAGATATGTAACAGCGTATTCTCCTGGGACACGTGGAATGGCAACACAGCCTTCCTCCTGAAGCAGTCTGTGTTAGTGTTCAAGGCAAAATTTGTCAATCTGCAGCCTGCTGAGCCTCGCTCCAGCTGGGTTGTGCATCGATTTTAAAAACCAGTATGCACCACTGTAGCTGCACTCAACAGGATTTTGGAGTTTGAAGCCTATTAGGCCTTTCTTTGCCCCCCAGTACTACCACTAAAGGAACTAGTCATTCTAGGATGTGTCTGTCCCACAGGAACTGCTCCTTTAGAGCTTTCAATTTTTGAGAGGGGTTGAAAAGTTGGTGGGCACAGTCCTGAAAATTTTCTGAGCTTAATGCAAACTTGGCTAAATTCAAAAACAAGCCACTTAAAAGCAGATCTCTCAAACATCACCATCAGCAATCTAAAAATTCACCTTACAGAACAAACAGCAACAACTACCTTGGCTTGCTCCAATGAGGTCACCGTTTTGGTGTCACCGATCCATAGTTACATAACTTATATTGTTTTGGAACACTCAGAATTGACATTCTGAAGCTTACACAAAATTATTATGTCACTTCCAAGAGTCCGATGGAGCCCAAACGGCACTGGAAGGACTGATTAGGGAGAAGGTTTGAGTAAACGATTGTCCTACCTTGTGCCTAACATGACTTTTTGAAGTGGAAAGGTGACTAATCATTGTCTTATGTTTGTCAGCTGAGCCGGTGTGGTGTTCATGCTTTAGGATGGGAACAAAGAGGTGGCTGCATAGGGGGGGGGAAGGGCAATGGGGGTGGGGGTAGGGATGGTAAGGGTGACGTCTGGTTGGCTTTTATTCTACCGTCAATGTGCATCAATGAGCAAATAGTCCCTGTGTGTTAAATGGCCACATAATCAAATTCTAAAATAGATCAAGAGCTGATGTTACTGCCTAAATGTGACTAGAAATGGTAAATATTGCTTTCACTACTTGTCATAGAAATATACATTTATTTTACAACTAGGCTCAGACATTTTCTCATTCTCTCATCACGACCATAAATCCTCTTAAATATATCCTTTCAATTTGGTGTGTGTATGTGTGTGTTCCCATGTATGACTGCAAATATAAGCTGTACACACAGCCGCTATTTAGCAGACAGAATAAGAAAAGAGTAGTGAGTAGTGCAGGCAACTGTATTTTGATGGGCTGTCAGGAAGCAGTGGCTTAAATCAGCTTAGATGTCATGCAAAAAAAAGTCTAGGAGGATGCCAGAGGAGGAATTAAGGCAGCTATGATTGTCCTTGCTAAAGAAGTCAGCCATCACGGTCAAAGTGAGGCAGCTCGCCGGACTTGCAAACCACAGCACATTTAAATTATAGATCCCTAGGAGAGCTGCTAAGCAGAAACAAGAGAGGGAGGTGAAACATAGGAGAGTGGAAAAAAATAGCATTTTAATCATTGCTGGGTAAGAACTTCCATTAAATGCCCCCCACCCCAAACTCATGCCACAAGAGACTGAAACAGCCCTTGGAAGCTGGCATGCGCTGCATGATTTGTTGACTAACAACCTGGTAGCTGAAGACTTCTTCATAATCCCGATAAAGGAGAAGACATACAGTGATCTGCTCAGTGCAGCTCGGAATCCAATCTGGAAATAAGACCTTGCATGACCAAAATATTTGAAGGGGTGATGGCTTATTAGGGGTCCAGGGGTTAACAACCAACTCTTGTATGCCTTTTTCTAAGAACTAACCCATACCTCCCTCAGGCTATTTTTGGTTGCATGGGCATATCAGTTATCCTGTCAGACACTTTTAAGGGCTAAGTGCATTGATTGATTTTTGATAGCCCCAGAGTTGGAGAGGAGATAGGAAATGAGGCAAAGCTTTTGTGTTCCTATTTTTCTAATCTTACAAAGATCTGTAATCTCGCCGCAATCTATATCATTCCATTTCGTTTCATGAATTATAAAGAAGAATCAATTTCTGTGGATATAAACACACTAAAGCAGCTTTACGCCTTTTTTGTGTTTTACTGTGACATCAATCTCCTGTTACCCATTATTCGTTCCGTACCCCGGCGTCAGATTACCATTTACAGTGAAATAAACATGTATGCAAAAGTGGTGTATGTGGTAACGTGTGGTAAGCATTTCGTGAGAAAAACGCAAGCACTTGACTCATAATGAATCTAAGTATAATAAGGTTACGTGGACAGCGAGATACACAGGAAGACAGGCAGAGTGAGAGATCGGTTCCTCTGGGTCGGCGGTTGAATTATCATCTGCCTCTAGTGAAAATGACAGTCACTCTTGGCTACCCAGCAAAGGCGTACCACATGATGGGCAAGGCTTGCTTCCAGCCTACTTACAGTGTGACATACACACACACACATCCAGTAACAGACACGCACACATCCACTTACACACACCTACACACATGCAGTCATCTGCTGTCAGTGCTACGAGATGCATGCTGAGTTCTCTCTGTCACACACGCACACACACCAAGGCTAGGATTTCCACCATAAAATTATCAGCAGGGCAAGAAGCCATACTGAACCACACTCTGCTATCACTGAGCAGCCCACATTATCTGATAAATATTCCACTAAACAGCGTCGGGCAAATTCTTCAGGATGTAACCGCTGTTAAGAGTTCAGTTAACTCCTTACATCAGTGTTATTGTTTCACCGTCTTGTACCGTTCTGACATCAGACAGTAGTGCATCAGTGATACACTTACGTACATCTCAGTGTTGCCCAACTGTACAAAAGGAAGTGGATCTGAGTCAGTCAGTCAGCTGCAAAGTGTGTCATACGTCACACAGTTGTCTGCGAGCGTTCAGCCTTATCGCCTCTCTTCTCGCTCGGTTTCTCTCTGTGGCCGGCACGGAGTCTTTTTTAAACTTCACACTCACTATTGATCATTTTGGTGAGTCATGCCGCTCTGACTCAAATACATACTGTACTTAAGCAGGCCCACAGAACTGTTTCACTGCAAGCACAGGGTGTAGGCCTCGCTTGGCCTGTGCATGCACACTAGGCTTCCAGGAACCCTGTGCTAATACTGAGTGAGAAGACTGTCATCTGATGATCCAGCACTCTGTTTATGAGTGAGTGAGACTACAATCAGTCTCCATGCAGCCACAGCACACTTCCTGGAAACTCGCCTTTGCGTGTGTGCGCTCGTGTATATGTGCCTGTCAGTCAAGACCGTGAAATACAGAAGGAGCGGAGAGAGATTATAGATAAAGGCGTAAACAGAAAGATGGAAGTAAGTGCTGGCCCTCTCAACAGCACATAAGTTCTTCTTGAGTGGTGTTCGCACTAGCTTCCTACAGGGCTGTGCATGCTTGCACACACACACACACACACACACACACAGTATCACAGATGTTACTAGGATACAGGAGGGTGTTGTTGCTTATTATGTTCTAGCAGCTCACACTGGTTGTCTAGCTTGGCTTGGCTTGTTTAAGAGGCTGAGATTAGACAAGCAAAGAGGCTTGCGCAGCCGGCTCATCTCTGCCATATCTGGGTGTTGCTCTGTGCTTAACTGAAGCTTCCACCTTCTTTAGCCGTAATGCAAATATGCACACAAAAAATTTGGAGCTCAGTTTAAGTTGCAGGATTCCAACTTTGCTTTATCAGCCTTGATTTAGGCTCAACGGACACACACATGCACAGGCACACATAGATCCTTACCTGAGTTTCTGTTAGGCTCTCCAAAGCTTGCATTACTGACTGTTCTGGTCTTGATGCTTGAGACTGCATGACAGAAATAAAATACAAAATTTAATATGTGTAATTTTTTTTAAGTTCATTCTTTAGATTTGAACTCCAAACTAAAATAAATTCACAGCAAGCTGAATCCATACCATTAATCCTGCTTCAACTGTTGGCACAAGTGTTAACTTGCTCCCATCCGAGATGCCTAGATCCTGGAGTTTGCCTGAACTTAGTCGCCTGCAGGGATTGGGGAGAACAAGATAATTAGACTGTGCTGACAATATATTCTCTCTTCAGACATACAAACACCCTTCAGCCAGGGGGTGCAGACGGACTTCAAAACTATTTTGGAAAAGAGCTGTGGGTGTAAAGCTCCACGAAAGAGAAGTATTGATTGCACTGTCATATTTCAATTTCGAGTATAGTGGAGCTTGACAAGTGCTTGCAGTGGATATTTGGCACCACTGGCACTTGCCTAAGTGGAGGTAAGAATTTTTTTTTTTCTTGACAATATCAGTTGCACAAATGAGGAAGAAAAACTTCATGCTGAAACCAAAACCACAGCATATTAAATTTATAAATGAAAAGAATGGCAAGTACTAGAATTGCATGGACGCCGTTCTTAGCCAAACTGTTACGGCTCTGTCAGTGATTATGAAAGTTAAATCATGTGATACAGAACACATCACATTTCCAGGGCTTTACTGCTTGATGTCCGGTACAGAAGAGGAATGCTTGCATCTCAGAGCCAAATGCGATGCAAGCATTCACACCCGTTTCTGGCCGTTTGCCTGCTTTATGTTAGTGAAGGATGTTTAGGGCAGTCTGGTCTGTAGGCATGACCCAAATCTTATGCCACGCAGCTGAACAAAGGCAGTCAGCCCCGACTTGCTGTAGGTCTACAGTTTAAGGCGCAGGAGGGGATTAAAAATGGGGTTTTCAGGTTTTAAAGGATGATGTGATTTATTGGGTGATTACAACGGGTGGGAGGGGATGGGGGCTGAAAACAATGCTGACTGTTCGCATGTACTAAAGCCCCCCCTTTCTTTTTTGCATAGCACCACCTGCACTATTGTGAGCTCGTTTAACCTGTGCCTGATTCATTTCATAGCTTCATAATGCTTCAGGTTCTGGTTCGCTTTGAATAATAAAGAGTTTATCTATTCTCTCACACATGCAGCTCTGCTTAAACAGCAGCGTTTTTCAAGCCCTCGCGAAACTGGCCGTCTGATACCTCACACAAACACAAACTGCTGTTATTCTCCTGAATCTGCTGGCTATTGTCATGCAACTGCACACTCACATTCACATCCAACCACAAGACATATCCACCTTCGGTTCAGTACCAAGTCACGCATGAATAATGTACACCTGTGCAGTAGCAGTATAAATACAGTCAAGGTTAGCACTTCTGTGTGACTTTATTCATTAATGTGTAACATGTTTGACTCACGCAGCATTAGCAATTCAGTCATGCTTCAGTTTTTATAAGAAGGGGGGACGAATCAATGCAAGTCTGCAGATTGCCTGTCAATACTGTTCCAGTGACTGGTGAGTCCCAGCCCATAATTCCAATATTGTCCACCCCCATGGTCAATAGTTTCCTTGAACGTATTGATCACCAAAGCGGGCATACCTTTGCCTCCCGTGAGCTTAACCAGTTAAAGTGCAGTTTGGAAAATATTACCTCAACCCCGGAGGGTGGGCGCACCTAAAGTCGGTTTGTGCACATTTTGAACTGCGGACTATCCTAGACATTACGGCTTATGATGTCAGCGTATAGTACAGAGAGTCTCAAGTACCGGTTGGCTCTTTAAGAAATAAGTATGCGTAATTATTTTCCCTATCCGAAAACCCCACGTTTACTAAACACTTTCAACTGCAATGCATTTATTTCGTGTTTACTCACGTTTCTTTGTGTAGCAGAGCAAGTCTCTCTTTTGGGACTTTGAGTCTTTGCGACAGTCTCCTCTTCAGTCCCTCCACGGTCTCCTCCAGTGGCAAGGAGAGCTCGAAGCGTGTGCCGGTGGTGGAGTGGATGTACAGATTCATGGAGGGTTCAGTCGGGACGGCCTCGCAGGACGAAGCCCCGCGACTGGTGCAGCTTCGGGCGCTGGGATGCTGGTCCATCCGATAACCTGTGCTCAGAGAAGGGGGGAGACAAGACGAGCAGAGCCGGGGAGTGAAAAGGGTGAAAAGAATAGTGAAGCAGATCCGTCGCTTCCACTACAATCCCTTGATCTCCTTGCAAATCAAAGGCAGCATTCAGAGCTCTCTCTCTCTCTTTTTTTTTTCTTCCTCTTGGTGCCCCCTTTTTTTCTCTCGCTCTCCGAGAGTCAGAATAAAACCCAGTCCGTCGTCTCTCCGGTCAATATCATGAGAATATCCCCCGAGGAAATTTAACTACACAAGCGTCGCGTTTCCCTTTGTGTGATCTTTGTCTTTGTTGCGCTTTCCAGCGTGCAAGCAAGTCTTTCGAAATGCTACATAGACGGGCAAATGCCACACAGAAACGCAAGTATGTTGTCAGCAAAAAAAAATGGCACGGACGCTCATTTACGCAGGCAGTTACCTTTAAAAAAAAAAAAAACCCAAACAAACCAAAAAAATGTATAACAACAAATTCCTCTCGGATGTTTTATGAGCTTTTTCGGGCTTTGGATGATGGGACACGCGATCCGGAGCTGCAAAGCCTCTTGCGGCTGTAGTAAAAGGCTCTCCGCTGCGCACTCATACCCACGGCAGCCCCACTGAAATATCGACAATGAACATTGTCACAAAGTATCCCACTTCCACCATCGATAAAGTACGCCCACAGCCCCCGAGGCCGTCCGACCAATCACAGGAGAGCTCCTTCAGGACGCCGATGACCTCAGCCAATAGGAAGATGAGCTCGACACCCACGTGGAGGCCAAGCGAGTTTAGGCCATTCATAATAAATTACAGCACAGTGCAAAATATGCAACAGTATCACAGTATACTCAAATAAAGGGCTACACCGAGGGCCGTGTGCCTCTACAGCTTACTGGAAGCTTTAAAGACAGTCCCCGTAAAAATGACTTGTTTTTTAAGTTAATCACGGCTGAATCATTCCTGAATTCTCGTTTCACGAGATACACCAATTATAGATAATATTTAGAGACAAATATGATGATGAGTGCATCATCTCTGGAAGTACCGCCTGTTTAAAGGGTCTCATCGTGTGGGAACTGTGCAACAGGCTGAAAATAGCGATCATCATTAATCCCAAAAACGCCTTTTTTGAAGAGATGTTTGACAGCAGCACACAGTGTGAATATATAACTGATTGCTTAATTTAAGCATATGTAGCTCATCATCAACTTTCGACACCGTGAGAGTAGATTTTTGATCAGGACTCGCTTTCTTTCCCTTATATTTCCCGGGTTACTTAACCAACAACACCAACTTGGACGTGGCTATTTTTAAACCCTTGGCATAAAGACCAGATCCCTCTGCTCCAAGTTATCAGATGTACTGTAACGACATTAATAGTGCTGACGCCACCCTCTTTCCCCCTTGACCTCAGAAGCAAGCAGGAACCCTTCAAGTGATCGCGAATCTTACGCTAATCCACGCTGGACACGAGTAGGTTATTCTCGTCAGGTAAGCTGCAGTATATGCATGTAACACAGACTTCGGACTGCTGCTGCACGAGTTCTCAAGTCTGAGGTGACCAATAAGCGCCCTGAGAGCAATATCCCTGAGAGAAGTAACCAGAGCAACTCACAAAGAGAGACTGACTAAGAATATTTAAATGACCATACAGCCCAGAGCCACCTAAAGCCTACACAGCGAGCTTACCTCTGCAGTTTCTTCAAACCTAAGTAGGCACTTTACCATTAAAAAAAAAAAAAAAAAAAACACATTAAAAATACTCGGTCGCCCCCCAGTGGCAACGGAATCAGTTTTCACAATGAAAGCATGCAAACGATTCATAGTTTACCCCTGGCATATATATATAAATATATGTATAAATAGGTTAAATTTGGAACATGCAGTTTTTAAAACCTTATGCATTAAAGTATGGCAGCTTTTACTCGTATTGAGTACGACAGTCACCATAAAGCAACGTTTGATAAGATTTGTCGTTCTCCTTCTAATCTGAGATAATTACCAACGACTTGCTGTCTTCTACTAATTATAATTTACAGGAACAATGACATTCTCCTATCGTCAATAAACACGACATTAGGCTGTCCCTCAGAATTTACGCCCAATTGTCTCATACAAGCAGCTGACACGCTTCTATCGATCCGCAATTGACTCGTCTCTAATCAATTTCTCGCCAACACATAAAGCGCGTGTCAAACTTTACAAACACATCACCCGTAACATAACATACAGCTCAGTCGTAATAAAAAATAAAGTGAACTCACCAAGAACTGTGGCGAAAACTGTAAAGCTTCGCGGAAAAGTCTGCTGCGTTCCCGTCTCTTGCCCCAGTTTTGGCATGTAAAGTTAACCCACACAGCGACAAAACTCTGAGATAAATCCAGACACTTGAATATCCACAATAACGTCTCAGTAAATTCTCTGGTGGCCCCGTGCGCGTCGTTACGCTGCAGACCCGGGCTCGTCAGTCCTGGCCAGTAATGGGAACAGTCAGGTCCCGAGATGCTTTCGTGTATAGTCAGATCACCGGTGTCTTACTTGGTGATAAGAGCGTAGTCGGAAAGGTGAGACTCCTCTTAACTGACGCTTCTCGGATATGGGTGGAGAGTAATGTTCTTCTTATGTCAGCATGTCATTTAAGGTGGCCTCGTTTCCCTGCTGCCACCAAGTCCAACTTGCTGTCGTCTGTGGGAAAGAATGCGTCTATAACGCAATTCTTAACCGATAAAGCTATCCAACTGTGTCAAGCACAGCGGCTCCCAGCAGCAGGAACGACTTTTAAAGGTAGCATACACCGACAGAGACACGAAACCCGGACAGCCACTGACCTACCACCTTAAAAAAAGAGTCAATGAAATTAAATCTTTGGCGATATTGGAGGTGTTGCCAACCTTTGACGACATAGAGAAAAATGTCACCGGGCAACAGGTAAACACGCTCCCTGGATACGACACACGTACGCCGATAAACAAACACCACTGCTCCTGTTTGAGGAATTAATGCCCTGCTGATAACCTAATGCGGATTCTTGAAGCGCACAATGTACAAAATGACTGTTTTATACAAGAATGTAGGAAGTTTATTCTGCTGCTCTTTGGAGCAGAGACACTAAGACGTAAAATCGGCTAAAGTGTAATAATAAACTAAGTGTATTCAAATCGGTAACTATCCATTTATCTAGTTGCTTTTTAACAACTATTAAAACTCATTATTCATAACTGCCTCTTTCATAATGGTATCTTATTAGGTTTTATAGGCTATTGTTGCTTGTAATTATTGGATCTAACTCTAAATCTATTGATATAATTTTACATAGGTAACTTAAAAAACATATTTAAAGTCTAGGTTGGCTATGGCTTTTAAGATAAAGGAATTGAAGTCTGTTTGAAGTGAAAAAGAAGGAAGTAGACAAATTTGTTTTTAAGTACGTGTGTAAATTTACTTTCCACTAGTGGATGTTGATATTGGTAGATTAGGACAGTCTGCTTTAATATGTCTGCGCAGTGATTACGTCCCTATGGTTAGAACTGTGATAATGATCACAATGTGGTCCACCTCAAGGACAAGACATGTTTTGCAATGTTTCACTGACACGGAAAAAAGAAAAGAAGCGAAAAGAAAAAGCCTGACTCTGCCATCAGAAAATACCTAAATGCACCAATCTAGAACTGTCCTTCTTTTCTGCTTCAGGACCAGCACAGATTGTCTGTCTGATTACAGAGACACACTCCCACTGTGCAGGGGAGGCTGCGCCCCACCAGCATATTATCACAGCGTCTGAGACCTGAATCATCATCGTGTGTGTGTGTGTGTGTGTGTGTGTGTGATAGAGATAGAAAAGGCTGTTGTGTTCAAAAGAAACACTGGCATTATCTCCGAGAGGCTACATGAGCAGACAAAGGGCCCTGTCTTTGCTTGGCCCCAACAGCTCCCTCTTCTTCCTTATCTGTCTCCATCTTGTTCTTTCTCTTTGGAAGATGCTGACTCAGTAGAGCAAAGTGAAAGGAGTTGGTTAAACTCCCTCACTAACTTGAAACACAACCCTTTGTTTGGGTCAAACGCTTCACTTTTCAGCTTGTTTTTACGCTGGACTTGATGGCAGCTGCACATTAATGGATCTGTTTGTACATGACTTTTGGTGAGAAGGAGCTAATGTGCGCTGATGTTTGTCACTGTGGCCGCTTGGGAGTTTAAGTCCTTCTTTCAGGCATGAGATGGCTCGGCTGTGCTCGTCAGCAGGTCTGGCTGTCAACACAGCTCAGGTGATGCAGAACATTCTGACCTCTTTGCCCAAATTAGCCCTGGCAGTTGAGCTCACAATCTGACATGTTTGGTGACAAAGGTGCAGCTCTCTCTCCAATCTGGATCTTGGCTTTGTCTTATAAAATGGGGTGTGTTTTTTGGGTTTTTTTGTTCTTAAAAAAATTAAAGGGCATGTTTTGTTTTTCTTTAGTATCTAGAGCAGATCATTCGTTGAGTATGTCATTTATTTTGATCTGCATCAACTAGTGTATTATCTTTCCTCATTCTATCTTTGCTAATGTGACAAATCACAATGTGATTAAGTGAAAAAAAATGCATTAATGCACGAATTTATCATTGTGCAGCCTAAAAGCCAAATCTGTTACACTATATGCCGCATGTTGCATTACGATGCACATGGACAAGCCAGTGATAAAGGATACAGGAGCAACCCCCACATGTGGTCATCTCCGTGATAATGCATCACACGTACTTCTGGGAAGAGTTTATTGACAAGGGTGGAAGGCTGTGTGGGTGGGTCGTAAATATTTCACATCCAATATCAGATCTAGTGGGACAGAGCAGACCGTGTGCGATTGTATGTGTAGAAGTCAATGAGTCTGTGTGGGTCATGTGCAAGCCAAAACGCGCAAGTTGTTGTGTGAGAGACTCAGCGTGTGGGACATGTGTGGGCGTGTGTGTGTCTGTGTGTGTGGGTGAGCAGCATTCCTATCCATCAAAGTCACCCATGGGCCGCCCTCTGCCTTAGGAGAAAAATGAACCATGCCCAACGGACTCGGCCTGCTGCTGCTCTTCTCCTCCTGCCACCATTTCCTCCTGATTCACCCTAAGTGGCTGTGAGTTAGAAAGACACACCCCGCCACCCACCCCCATGCTACATTCGCAACAGTGGCACCGGAAGCTGACACATTCAGCGAGGATGCATGTAAACGTGCTGATTCAAATAGTGCTGGGAAGAATGTTACCGATAAGGAGTGTCTATGACTTATGGCTTAAAAATGTATGCCTAACTCATCCACTCGGAAGTACAAAAATTACAAAACAGATTAGTACAAATTATTTGATCCCCGGTGCCACAAATATTACATATGATCAGGGAGAAAAAATTAAAATTAAAGTATTTACATGTTATTCTTTATAAGGTGCATCTTTTGTCGAATAGAAGTGAGCAAAATTGCATAAGCACAATTGTTTGTCACTTACTGAACTGATGTAGAAAGTAAAGACGAGAAAATGTGTTTTCCTTTTTTCTTTTATCCATTCACTTGTAGGCTGCAGTTGTTCTTTACAGTGCAGTGCAGTCAGAAGTGAACGTTTGAATCTGACCAAGGTTTTATAGTACAAACGAATACTAACAGTTCATACATTCACCCTGAACTGGATAAGTCTGACCCTGGACTTGTAGGGGGTGCAAGGACGTAAATGTACACGACTTCTTGTGGGAGAAAATTGTAATAACTGGATTTGTTTTTAATAGCTGCTTATAATCACTTACAAGCATTTTTGAGCTCTTCTAGTTGACGATATTCGACTCAAAGAGGGAATTAGCAAGAACACAGCTGCACGTCATCTGGAAGCCTGGAAGTTAGTCTGAACTTATCCACATGAAAGCCGTGAAGTGTAATATCACTTCATTGTTTCCTTTTAACTGGAAATTACAATCAATACAATATTTGTATACTCTGGGCCACAATAGGAACTTAGTAACCTTAGTAACCATAGCTCATAAGTTTGAGCGGTTTCTGTCACTGGCCCAGTGAGTGCATTGCACGCACAAATAACGACCTTTGTGGGTCAAAAGACGTGTTAGACCTATAAAAAAAACCAACAAAAAAAGAAGCCAAGTACTTTGATATGAGAGGTAATTTATAACATGTTAGGGTTCACAAGTTTCAGTATTATTTTTAACTAAATGCATTATATTGAAAAAAAAAATGGATTCAGGTCAAGATACATTTGTGGGGTGGAATTTTTTGCAGTAATTAAAATGATAGTTTATCTGCAGAAAACACACTGAAATACACATTTCTAGTTGGACTTTGCTACAGATACTTTTTAGTACCTCTGGGATTACGCTACAAAAATAGCTAGATCACTCAAAGTAGTGGTTAAATGCATTGAGATTCTTGTTACACAAGTACTTCAGATATAGTGTGGGGTTAAAAAAAACAGAGGGGTTAGAAGTTGAGTGGGATGGGTTTTGGTGTGGACGGGGTCTCTGATCCCACACCTGCAGAAGAAGCCCTGTTTGAAGTGTTGCTCGCTCGCTCTCCCGGCTCACAGCGCAGATGATTGATGACACATCTTGAGCTCTGCTGCTTTCCACACATAAGCAGACAACATGCCAGAGAGAGTGTGAGGAGAAAAAATGAGAGTGAGAGAAAGAATTGTGCAAAACATGCAATGACAAGGGACAAGAAAAGAAAGTGTCACTTCAGACAGATTTAGTCACAGCTTACAGTAACTTCTGAACAGCCAGGCCAAGGACAAAACAACCAGACATCCATTTCCAGAGTCACGACATTCCCGACTTTTGTCCAAAAAACTTTTTGTTGAAACTTTTCAGGAAGCTGATAGTTTGACTTGCAGACTCTCTCCTAACTTAGTCAGAAAGAAAAAAAACCAGATGAAAAGAACCACAATATCAACTTGGGTGTGTATTATCAAATGTATAGCACTGCTGAGTGAGTGAGTAAGTGAGAAAGTGAGTAACAACTAAATGCAACATCTGTAGCCTGAACAGTGCCCAGAGGCAGACTGACTGGATAAAATCCAAACATTTCACAATCAAACTCACCGTATTCGTTCTCTAAAGACAGCACATTAATCACAGAGAGGATGGAGTGCATGTATATGTGATGAGTAACATTCTGAACTCTTTGTGCTTAGCTTCTGTATATCATTAAGAGCACATTGGTCACCCCATAACGAGTCAGTGCATTCCCAAGTGAAACATAAAACGGATGAGGCATATTTTGTGTAGAAAGTAATGTAACCAGAATACTCTTCCTTAAATCTTGTCACAGGGACACTTTGATACTACAGTGGGTTGATCAGCATGATTTGGCAGACTATTTCATGTAATAAACAAGTGATAGTTAAGTGTAATTGTCTTCCTCTGTCCTGTGGAGTCTGGTTGTACAGTTAATTCGGTGGCTTTGGTTCAAAAATAAAATTATTTTTAACCTCAAAGTTAGAAAATCTCAACAGGAAGAGGTAATACTCATATGGGAGCACTGTCTGTGTTCTGTATCTGCAATTATTACGCAATATGCAACAATTCAAACCATTGCCTTGTAGTAGCATATTATTGTGAATCATATATCGCTGCGATCTGAGCCTCCACATGGATCCTGTGAGAGAATACGATGTACTGTTATGGCTTAGCCTATCAAGTTTGTAACAGGACACTTCACACCGCGTTCCATATTCTGTTTGTGTGCAGTGAAACATTAGTCTTGTTCACAGTCTGTCCTGTGTCGAGATGCTGCACGACTCACAGGACACTAGTGGTGCTGTACTGTACTTCCAAAGCCCAGATCTGGGCCTGTCAACCACTTACTGCACAACCTCATCCAAATGGTGTAACTTCAACACCCCCGCAAAGTAGACTTGATAATTGCTGCTTTTTACAGAGCTGGTCTGCTCACACTAAAAAGGCCCACAATAGGACAGGCTGGAACTGGGCTGAATGTGCTAAATAAGCTAATGAAATCC